CCCCCCCCCCCAGTGAACTTTAAGCGAGCTTGTTGGGCCAGGGCAGGCGCCCCAGGCCCTGTGCCCTGGGGCTGGGCTCGCTGTGATCCAATTAGGAACTGCTGGAGGAGGCCTGGCTACTGAAAGGCACCTGTTAACAAAACCAACTGAGCGGGAGGGTCCATCTTCCCTGTCTGATCCTCGCAACAGTCCTATGGGGACATTTCACAGTCAACAGGAACACAGTAATGGGACTAAAGACCCTGGAATCAGAAAGATTCGGGTCCGTCTCCAAGGTTGTCATGTTCCCAGTTCACAAAAACAGACCAGAACGGGCATGGCTGTTCCCTGTGGTACATGCCCAGGGGACCCTCAGCCCAAGTGGCAAGGGTCACCACCCAGTCGGAGCAGCCTGGCCCAGGAAGGAGGACACCTGCATTCTCCCCCCCGGTTGCTTCTAACTGGCTATGCGACCCTGGGTGAAACAGCTCACTTCTCTGTATCCCAGTCTCTCTCTATGAAAAGAAAACCAAAAATGCTTTGGATTCAAGATNGCCAGGTCAGAGCAGCCTGGCCCAGGAAGGAGGACACCTGCATTCTCCCCGCCGGTTGCTTCTAACTGGCTATGCGACCCTGGGTGAAACAGCTCACTTCTCTGTATCCCAGTCTCTCTCTATGAAAAGAAAACCAAAAATGCTTTGGATTCAAGATCTAAGGTCGTTTCCAAATGTGAAGATCTGCTCACTGAGCTAGGAAACCCCCTTTCCCTTCTAGAAGTGAGTGTCACACCCTTTCAGGAGATGGCCAAATCCATGAGCCACGTTGCACAGCCTCACGCAGTCAACAGAGGCCTGCCATCACACTGGTAGCCCTCAGCGCCTGGGCCGCCTGCCGGCAAGTGAGGCTCAGCTCATAGCGGACAGCATGTCCTGGCCATGAGCAACACAGACACATAGGTCAGACCCACAGTGGGGGGCACCTAAGGAAGGCTGGTGCCAGGAGGTCTGAGAGTATGGTATGAGAGGTGCTCTGCCAGCGACCAGGGCCCTGCACCTGCCAGGTGTGTGAGAGCTGCCAGGCCCCTCGTGTAAACCCCGATGGTGAGCCTCCCTACTGACTGTGTTCTGGGGCCCAAAGCCTCCGGTGGAGGGAAATTTCCCTGCTTCAAAACCCCCGAGGTAGCACCACCAGGATTCTCATGCTGATCGGATGCCCAGGGGCTGGCACTTCAGAGGGGCCACCGAGACCTGAGTGCCCTCACCCACCTGGATGTCCATCACGTTGCTCCTGGGCTCGTATTTGGACTGGAATTTCTCAGGCTGCATCATGACCAGCTTCCCAGGGGAGACTTTCAAGAACTTTGCTATTTCAGTGCTGAAGGTGTGGTGGAATTTGTAATCTTCCCTCAGGTTGTTAGCTGAAAAATGATCAGAATGATAAATATGCAATTTATAAAATTGCCTAAACGATCTAGATTTAACTCACAACCACATCAACCAAAGCAAATGCCTGGGAAGTAGTGTAATGACCACCTTGAGTTCTGTGTGGACACCTTGAGTTTAAACGTTGGATTTTAAAACTTGGTACAGGCCTAATACAGTGGCACCTCGGTTTTCGAACGTGTCCGTGGACAAACATTTCAGGTTACAAATGCCATAAGCCCGGNTGTCCGTGGAGGAACATTTCAGGTTACAAATGCCGTAAGCCCGGAAGAAAATGCTTCAGTTTTTGAACTCGCCTCGGAAGTCGAGCATGCCCCATGTCTTCTGCTGAGGGCAAGATCCTGAGGCCTAGCTGTCAGCTGTGGATCCCTTGGTTTTCGAACGTTTCAGAACTTGAAAGGTCTTCCGGAACGGAGTACATTCAAAAACCAAGGGACCACTGTACCTTAATACCTGTATCTCAGAATCTGTATGTTCAGAGAAATACTTAGAATTAATCTGCCAGGCGTTCAGGTCCACTGCCATGTCTGGTGCTGGGGAGCACAAGATCCCAGACAGACAGTCCCTCTCAAGGGGACAGTGAGGTTTGCACACTGCTGACTGCACGTGGCCAGTCTGCACACACAGTACTTTCTGGGGATTTAAACTCCGGGGGCCTGTTGGTGGGCTGGGGCCCTAAATGTGGTTCTTTTACTATCTATGTTGTATTTAAATCTTGTCAAACCCCCAAGATAAAACCCCAGGTTTGCGGATCGTATGATGACATAGTACCAGCCGGGATACTCCCCACAGACAGTGGTCTGTCCACTGCGGCGGCCACTACTCACCAGCTTCCTGGTACAGCTGGTAGGCCGGGTCACTCTCCGCCTGGAAGACCCCAATGATGATGACATCGTCTCCATCCTTCAGGAACTCCTGGACCTGCTTCAGGGCCAAGATCTCCTTGGAGGGTGGCCCGGACTGCTCGATCATGTAGTCAACAATCCCTGGGGGCAGAGCGCTGGCCTGAGGAGGGGCTGGGGTTCCAGGACGCTCTGCCCACTGCCCACACCCGCCAGGGAGCTTCCCTGCCCCACTGAGCTTGCAGAAGGAAGCAGCCCCTACCGTATTTCTCTCGCGGGCCATTGTATTCGAAAGGCTTTCCCTTGCGGAAGATCTTCAGGGTGGGATAGCTGGAGACACCGAACCTCTGCGCCAGGTCTGTCTCCGCGATGGCGTCCACCTTGGCCAGGGGGATTGGGGGAGAGCGCTTGCTCAGCTCCTTGGCAGCCTTCTCATACTCGGGGGCCAGCTTCTTGCAGTGTCCACACCTGCCAGAGCAAGTCGGTTCTGTCAGGGGTCTGCTCCAGTGTGGACACAGCCTCCCAGCAGCACAGGGTCAGAAACCCAGCTAGTGTTCCTGAGCAACTCTGAGATCCAGCCAACCTCCAAATGTGTCCAGGTGAGGGCGCTGAGCTGGGCCCCTAAGGAGAGCCAGCACAACACAGCGGGGAAACACAGACGCACAAACACAGGCACAGACCGGAGTGTGACTGTGACACGGAGTAAAATGTGGAAAGGCCAAGACAGACAATGTCCTAAGAAGGGAGGTTTTCTTGGTTGGAGACTTGGGCCAGGTAGGGACACAATTCAGGGATGGCTTCATATAGGATGTGAAAGTTGAGCTGGGACATGAGGGAGACTGGTAAGAAGTGAACACTGGCCCAAGAAAAGAGGGGTGAGGGGAGGGGACACAAGGCAGGAAAGCTGGGGGAACCCGGAGGCTCCAGCATGAGAAGGGAACACGTGTCGAGTGTGCATGGCTAAGGGTCCCCTTCCGAGATTCACTCCAGAACAAACAGCCACGAGCAGAGACAGAGACAGAGACAGAGAAAACTATGGCTCACACCCTTCAGGAGATGACAACACCTGGGATGGGGGAGCGAGGCCACCAGCTGTCAGCTCTGCTCTTTCCTCCCTTTCCTAGCCGGTGACCTTCCATAAGCAGCATTTCCATGCCTCCTGCCGGAGGTGAGAGGTGTCACCTCACTGCTGAGAGCCACAGCTGCCAAAGTGCTTTCACACGTGCTTCCTCCCAGGACAAGTGTGCAGCGACAAACGCAAGCACAGGCTGGTGCTCAGCCGTGTCCTCCAGCCTCGAGGGGCCCTGGGTCACCTGGCAGCCCTCTGTGTGGGCCACGTGGGCTGCCCTCTCCCCGTGCCCCAGGCCTATGTTCAGCTTCATCACATCCCCCGAGGAAGACCACCCCTCTCCAGAGCCCTTAGCAGCTCCACTTGGCCCTCTGTGTGAGGCGGGGATGCTGCACCCACCTTGCTCTCCGGCCGTCTCTGCCACCCTGCGCAATGCCAGCAGGGTACCCGATGCGGGACAGGCCTAACGACTGACTGACACGAGACCAACACCTTCTTACCAGGGAGCGTAAAACTCCACCAGGATGATGTCTGCACCATCCACCACCTCGTCGAAGTTATCTTTGGTCAGCACGAGTGTGACTTCCGGTGGAGGCGTCCAGTTGGGCTGGGAGATCTCCTTGACCTTGGCGATAATTTCTGAAAGAAACCCAAGAAGACTGAGCACAGGCAGACTTCTCGACAGCCCGAGGCCAGCCTGATGGAGGAGGCTCCATTCTCACCGGACTGCAGCGCTAACTGCACGCGAACCCCGCGAGGTCACCGCCCAGCGCTGCCCACGTGGCTGGTCGGCAGTTCTGGGGGCACCCCTCCACATGTACGCATCTAGCGCCGGCATGTTACAGCCTCATCAAACGTGCGCAAACCGAGGAAAATGAGGAGAGCGGCGGCACCCACGCTGCATCCGTGTCCCCCGTCATAAAAGGGCCCACTTGTGGCCTCTGTCCCCAGGGATGGATGCAATGGCGGGCGTGGGACACAGGGTCTATTGTCATAAGACATTTCCCAAGTGGTTCTTAGGAGGACCGGTAGCAAACTTTTTGTTCTTTTTTTGGCTGTGGAATCCACGAAGGACCAGGTCCGAGAGCCACTCCCGCACAGCGCGAACTCTCAGACTGAAACGTGCAGAGTGAACCGCCTGCCCCGGGGGTGCCCGGAGCCCCAGTTACCATGGGGGAGGCCAGGGAGCCTGCTCTCAAGATTCCCAGATGGACCACATGCCTCCAGGCAAACAGACAAACCTATTCCCTTCCCAACCATAAAGCATCCCACTGTCAGCCCGTTTATAGATTCAGTTCCTTACGAACGGATATGGCTGAGATGTATTTGTTATGTAAACACACGAAGGTACACATGGTATTTAAGATATGCTAACAATGCCCCACCGACCTGCCTCAGCCTTTGATCCTGGTCAGGGCACATGCCCAGGTTGTGGGGGCTCGATCCCCAGTAGGGGGCGGGCAGGAGGCAGCCGATCAATGACTCTCATCAGTGATGTTTCTCTCTCCCTCTCTCTTAAATCAATAAAGATGTGTGTGTGTGTGTGTGTGTGTGTATATATATATATATATATATATATATA